AGTAACATGGTCCGCGTTTTTCCCGCTCTTGCCGAGTATAGTTTGGACATGATTTCTATAACAAGAATATGATACATTTGACAAAGAATTGATTGGAAGAAACGTTTCAAGCAAGAAGATTCAAACTCACACATACCAATCATGAATACAAACCATTAAGCTATTCAATAGTTATTAAAAATACACACACAATAAATGATTAAGACCTGATAAGTCACATGTGGGTTACATACATGATATGGAGTTATGCATAGGAATGATTAGTTGCACATAAGTCTTTTTAGTGTCATTTAGATGCATGGAAAGGCCGTTTCTATAGCCATTCTGTGAATGTATGAAGACCAGAGATTAAGAGGTCTGTAAGGAATCTCTGAAAGTCTGTTCTTTGTCTTCTAGGTGGGGGATGTCAATTCTAAAGCGCTTGTGATCACTATCACTATAACTTGCCCCCAAAATTGACAATCTCCTTGGAATTGTCAATAAGTGTTCTTTTGTTTTAATGTTGAAAGCTGTTTTGTGAAAGAGTTGGTTAGGCTTGCTTCAGACTGGCTAGGGTCTGATTTATGACATCCTGTTGTCTTGGGCCTCTTGTGGATTTTTTGTGCTCCTAATGTTTCAACCATGTTTTGACCAAATCTTAGATTGTCTGATTCGGTCTGATATCCTACAGTTCATATGGTAAAACATCTTGGTGTTTATGTAGTTAATAAAACCTTACTTGTATCACACTTGATGTGTTCATTGTTTACTCATAACCGGAGTCAATAATCATGCAGATTTATGTTACAAACTTATAGAATTGTACAGTAAGAAAGTTATTTCCTTTAACCAGGAAATTAACGTTCTTAGAATTGACAAGACGGTTGACCCTGAGTGGTCAGCTAAATATCTACAGTGGATCTAAAATATGAATAGTTAATTATAACTAGTTATGGTTAATTATTCATATTTCCCCATGAGCTGATCCGCTACATTACAAACATAACCTTAGTAACCTTGGACGAGCATTGCTTCAGGTTTCCCCATCCTGTGAGCCTCACCCTAGGGCACTCAAAATGCCCTAAACATACTTGACACCCACTGAGATCATAGACTGATTAAGCAGACAAAATCTGTGGCAAGTTATAAATGTCCAGGGATAAATCCTGGCAAAAGCAGATAGTGAGGACCAGACGACTGCAGATGTCGCCAATGAACACAGGAGAAAGCCATACCCCAAACTGCTCTGATTGCCGGAACTGGCTAGAGAACTCTACATATACTCTGAGAGCCCAGACCAGGCAGAGTTAGTGTAAACACTGCTCATCCTTGGAAACGGAGAAGAAAGAGTAATGACCTGTGCTCTGAATGGAGTGGAAAGCACCTTAGGCACTTAGTCATGCCTTGGCTTGAGGACCTTCCAGTTGTTTGGCCCAAACCCAAGGCAATATGTACTGACCGAGAATGCCTGCAGGTCACCCATTCACATGACTGATGCTAAAGCCAGCAGGAGAGCAGTGTTAAGTGAAAGGGGCCACAGCTCAGCCAACAGTAGTGGCTCAAACGGGGGCTCAAAGAGCCCTGAGGACAGTGGAGAAGCCCCAGGTCAGAACCATGTGGGGACGAGGCAGATTCACCCTCCTGGGGTTATTCCTCATTCCTTCCAACTGACAGGCCAGCCACGGGGACAAGGTTTGCCGCGATGACCCTGAGTGAGGTTGGAGCACAGCCCTTATCCAGCAGCTCCTGCAGGAAGAACAATGTCACAAGATAAGGGAACTTCATTCCAGACTGTGCACCAGTCGGAAAAGACAGACCACATAAGGGCATAGAGGCTCCTAGTAGGTGGTGCTCTGGCCTCTGAAATAGTGTTCTTGACCCTCTTGGGAAAGCATGAAGGCTCATGTCGAGGGGCCGTAGATGTTGGATACAGAACTTGGGTTAAGGGTGCCAAATCATTCCCTTTGTATGTCATGACCTAGTAAGTTCATTGTGAACTTCAGAAAAGAAAGTGGCAGGTCTTTGACAAGGAGCTCACTGGTGGTGCCCCGGCAACAGAAACTATTTGTCAAGGCAGCTGCAGACTGGCTCCTCTGGGGCCAACCACTCCAAGCTCCTCAATGGCTTTGGTGAGGACACGTATGAGATTCGTGTCCAGACCAGATCTGGCGTCACGTGGCTCAATATGCAGCAGAGGGGTGTAGGCCTCCATGTAGTTTGCCCAATCGTCCACATCAGAAGCTGCCAAAGACACAATGTCATTGGCAAAATCCTCCTCAGAACCCCCAAAAGAGACCAAACCGCTCGCACCTGACGATGGACGCTGGTCCTCGTGGTAAAATAGCAACTGGGAATCTTCTCAATATGGGGAGCGTGAGACATATGGGATAAATATGTAAATAAATATCCACTTCATCCAGTGCCATTTGCTCTGTGTTCTTAAGTATCCCAATACTGCCTTTTACTGTAGAAGAAACCACTTTAGATGATTCATTGAGAGAGTGGTCAAAACGAATGCAAATCGATTCAGACTCTTCAGATCCAGTTCAGTGAAAGTACCGACTAATTATGATTAATGTTATGGCTGGTTCAATAGACAGAAATATGGGACACATAAAATAACTGATGTAATATGTGCAGGGAAAACTTTTCAGCCATGGCACAGCCATGAGCTGAAGGCATAACTGCTACGATATGAAAGCAGAACTACTTAGAATACCTATAATTATATTTTATCTCTTTATCGGAGCTGGTCATTTGACTGATACTTTAGCTTGTCTAATATGCCTGCACATGCACATTCATCCTCAAAAGTGTCCTAGCCCATCAGCAGCATCCAAAGAACAAATTTGCCAAATTTTTTTTCCAATGCTTTTTTCCACATATGAATTGCTTACAATGGCTCTGGAAAATAAGCTGCTGCCTTATTAAAAATGCTATATTTTTACTGCCATTTTTTCTGCAAACACAATGTATCCATGCTGGGGGGGACAGTCGCTGGTTAGGAGTTACGTTGTGGATGTTGGTCTCGAGCAGGCAATTGTGTCTGGATAGGCTTTTTAACTAGCTTAACGAGCAAGACCTTCAACAGCAAAGTTAATGATGCTGTATGTTTATCCAGCACATGCCAGAACTTAAAGAAATAGCTATTCTTATTTTGTCTGTATGTTGCTCCACAAGTTCTTGGCTCATTTTGAGTCAGAACTGGTTCATTAAAAAGAATCGGCTCAAAAGAATGTTCACGAATCAGACAGCAAAGACTATCTTCAGCTGTATTGTCCCCTCATTTTAGTCATTTTATAAGTTATTTAACATTCAAGGCCACTGTTTATTAAGGAAACACAATACACCCAAATGTCGTCTTCTTCAAAACATTAATTTTAGAACAACATTGGATATAGGCTACACTGTACAAAATAAGTGCAGATTTTACTGTCAGGGGTGTTAATGCAACTATTTTTTTGTATTTTTCTTAATTATTACATAAATGCCCGTACCCAGAGTTACTCTTTCTCTTCTGCATTTCACCTGCACTGTAGCTTGTGTATATTAATTGCTTCTATTTTTGACATTGTGTACTACATATTGTGAGCTTTTATTACAAATTGCGTGTTGTTTCTTATTTCAATTGCTTGCATCTGCTAAATGAATAAATGTAAATGTGGCATACCTTTTGATGTTTTTTTTTAAAGCATTAATCTGTAGAACTCAAAGAGCTCTCAACATTAAGACATAGGCGAATAGAAAAACGTAGAAAAAAATCATTTTAGACTTTTTTCTAGTTTTCATGGAATTCTCTCTTCATATTGAATCAGTATTAACAGCTTGAGTATCTAAAAGTAGAAGCTTCTTAGTTTGCCTGAGGGCTTTCAACATGCTGAAATTGATGTAAATGTTACAAAGAAATGGTATGTGCACAGTGCCCTTTTCCTAGCAAAACCCTTTCTGCAAGGAATAGAAAATGTGCTTTACATATTTTGTTCCCACAAAAGTAGCTCTTGAGACTTTCAACAAGAAAAAAACAAATAGTGTATTCGAGGATGTATGCTTTTCAAGACTGGTGACTGCAACCATTTTTTTCCTTTTCTTTTCCATTACAATTTCAGAATGTCACAGAGGATACTAAGTGTTAAGATCTTACAAAATGCTGTCCTACACCCTTACTGGTATATTATATGCAAATAGTATATGCCATAAATTATTTACAATAATATAGTTAGCATTCATTTTCATTTAGCATGTTTTTGTCCTGCTAGAGTTACTGGTTCTGTTCTGAAAGACACTGTTAAATAGCAAATAACTGTATGTTTACTAATATTCATGCTTCTGACTCACCTTTTGGTTGCAGTTTAAGTTGATGGATTCATTTTGACATGTTTTTTCCTGTATTCATAATTCATTGGATTGTGAAAATCTCTGTAGGTGTCATGCCAGGAAAACCAGCACAGATTCATTTATGCATTGAGCCAATGCCTATTAATTATGTATTTTCATCTGTTACAACCTCAGTGACTCACCAGTGAACAATAAAATCATTATAGCCCCACTATATGGGGACCAACTTTTTTACAAACATCTATATCAGACATATAAGACTTGTCTTCTGTGAAGAAGAGACAATTACATTGTTTTAAAGTTCATAGATTAGTAATTATTCATTCATTTGTCACTGTGTTTATTTTGTACGTGTTCAATAATTGTAGCAGAGAGAAGCAATGATAAATGCAAATAATAAAAGGCAACCAAGAGCTGTTAAAGAGCTATGAAATGGGCATTTATTTGTGATTTCTAAGGATAAAATGGCTGAGTATAGAGATTGAAGAGTATATTTGCAAGCCATCCTTTTAAAAATGTAATAGGCTGAAAAAAACAAATGATCAGACTTCCGTTTTGCTGAACTTTCGTTAATATTACAGAAATATGTGATATGTCCACATAGTATTTCTCTGTCCCTCTGCACCTCACTGATTTCTTTAGTCTTGTATGGTTTCTGCTCACGTTCAGATCATTTGTTAATAGTTTTGTTTACACTAACAAGCTTCTATTTAATGATGCAAATTAAATTGCATACTAAATAATAAAATTATCTTACTAATCTCTTTAAGATTTTAGTTTGCAGAAATCTGTATCAGTATGCCCTATGATTGTTATAAGTAATTCAAATAAGTTGAATACTCCAGTGCTGGAACTCCCATAAACAAAGCCTAATCTTAAATTATGCTAAATCCATAACAACATGCTCTTTGAAGGACAGCTTTTCAAACAAACCAAAGGAGCTGTTTGCATATTCTAATATATGGTAATTAACAGCAATAGCTTTCAGAGTGCCGCATACATAACATTTATGCCTCATATTAATTCCTTATCCTCAATTTTGTTGATCAATGACCTTTAACTTTGCTTCATTATCAGTTTCATTGCACAAACACTGTATATTCATGAGAGAATGTACACAGAAAGAATAACTCTATGTGAGGGATTTACATGTCACTCCCGAAACTTTGCTGCATGTACAGGGTATGGCCATTAACAGCACGAAAAACTTTTATTCAAATTCTGGACAGATTATATTTAGCATAGAAAGTGGGCAAATAGCCCTTCCTTTATAATCACTAAAAAGGTGTCATTTACTTCAGTTCATCGCAATCTCACAAAGTTCCTGTATAATCAATAAACTTCTTATTTACATCTTGCTACAGTGAGAGGACTCGTGGAGTTTAGCCGTGAGTGAATTCTGACTCATTTGAACAGAATAGTTCAAGAATCAAACAGTCAATGAGTTCGCACTTATATATAATTGAACTGAGCAAATATTAAGCATATTTGTTGTGCTGTCCTGAGGGCTCCGAGCTCGGGATATAGCACGAACCCAGAGAACTCCCCTATCCCTAGTATGGGATGAGAATAGTTTAAGAGTGAGGAGTTCGGGAGGAGGATGGATGCCAGAAAACTGTCGTGGGACAGAGGTAAGTTGGCTGTATATATATATATATATACTGTACATAGTGATAGTTAAGATGATTAACTAAATGAGCTCCACCTGTGCCATTTTATCTCCATTTTATTATGACCTGGAGGCAAAAGCCAGTGTGGGACAAGACAGCTCTTCTAATGTACGCAGTCAGCAGCAGAAAACCCGTCGCCAGCAGATCACTAAAATGTTGCGTAAGTAGGCCAGCTGGCCAATAATTGAATTCTCATGTATGACAGTGCCACGGCTGTGTTAAAGGGATAGTTACCTGTAGCGTCTGGACCAATCAAACACACAATTTTTAATTTGATTTAACAAATCAGTTATTCATTAGATTAATAAATCGTCACAGTCCCCTCACCCAATAAACTGGATGCCAGGATGTCTGCAACGACACCAGGCCCCCCCTGGTCCCCATGGCAACCATGACACCTCTGCTAGACCAGATCCATTTACGACCTAATGGCATGTTGAGAATTTCCCCTCGCACTACATTTTCCATAGGAAATCCACAGTGCACAGTAAAAATTGACTCTTCTCTGATTAATTAATAGGAAAACATTTCTTTGAATGAACACATATATCCTTCAGCTCATGGTGTATGTTGTCTTTGAGATTTTATACTGTTTTATGCAGGCTTATGATGGAAACACTCATTCCTGTCATCCTGCCTATATGTAATCCTACCATGTTTAGTATCTATGAATTCGCCTTCTGATGATCGAAACAAGCGTGTATATTATATGTTGGTACATAGGCAATATATTAGTGTCCTGAGAATCTTTAGTAATTTCGATTCAAGTTCCATATGCAAATTACCACGCTTCCACACAAAGAGTCATAAAACTCCCCAGTATCTCAAAACTCCCACTTGTGCAGCTAAATATCTACAGCGGATCTAAATATTTATATTTAATTATAACTAGTTATGATTAATTATTCATATTTCCCCATGAGCTGATTCGCTACATACCCAATGACTTACTCATCCTCAAGCCATCCTAGGGGTGTATGAGTTTCTGCTTTCAGACGAATACAATCAGAGTTATTTAAAAAAATGTCCTGGCTCTTCCAAGCTTTATAATGTCAGTGAATGGGGGTCAAGATATTGAAGCCCAAAAAAGTGCATCCATTCATCATAAAAAGTGTTCCACATGACTCCAGGGGGTTAATAAAGGCCTTCTGAAGAGAAACGATACTTTTGTGTAAGAAAATTGATTAAATTAAAACTTAATCAACCGTAATCTCTAGCTTCCGCTAACTGTTGTACTCGCGTTCACTAGAGAGTGTCGTTCCTGTGGATGATGTAGGATGTAGGCGAAGCGTAAGCTCCGGTGAGAAGTGACGAACGTGGAAGCACAGAGGAGAGAGCAAAACAAAACACCGGTCACGAATTAGAAATACAAAACGAGGATTTGTAAAATAAAATGCTAATGATATAAGCCAAGAGGAGACTGGTTTTCTTTTGCTGTAAACAAAACATGGTTCTCGCGAGACTAGCAAATTCTCATCAGAGCTTACGCTACACCTGTGTCCTACGCCATCCACTGGAACGACACTCTCTCGTGAACGCGAGTACATGAAAAATTTAATGAGTTTAGAGTTTGAAGTTGAAAATTTTAGTCTACTAATACAATTCTCAAAAAAATACACAATTTTTCAAAACAGAGTGCACAAAAACATTTCTCTGAAGAATTGTCAAGTCTTTATTTATTTAGTGCTTTATACAATACAGATTGTGTCAAAGCAGCTTTATGGTGTTGAACGGGAAAATAGTGTGTCGATAATACAAACAAAATTCAGTTCTGCTGTAAAGCAGCTCTAAAATTAGTACTGTAAGGTCCACCCAATTGGCCCAACAAAGGTATCCAATGGCCTTTTCGGTGCGCAAAGTAATTTAATTTCTATTAAATTCTAATCTGACTCCATTTTATTATGACCTCGAATTTAGGTTGAAATTTCAATTGCGTATTGGTTGTTTGAATAATAATTTTCTAGGTATTTGTTTATCCTATTTAACTCCTATTTTGATTGTACTCGTTCATTCGGATTCTCATGTCGCTCAGAGATCTTGCACTGGCCAGTCTTGGTAATTAGACAGAGGTAATTGACTAATAATTTAGATGGCCGCTCCTATGCTTGCAAGTTCTAAATGTACTTTTGTTTAGTCCCCATAGATCTGTTCATACCTGAATAAAGCAACATTATCTCTAGTCAGAGGTCACAACTACTACTAAGATATAAGCCAACCAACATTACTTTCTCTGATAGTATCATTGGTTTGGTCGTACCATGATTTCCCTTAGCTAGAGTAACATTAAATTAAACAGAGGTTCGGCTCACCCTTTTTAGGTTGGTCGAACAACATCCAGTTGACTTAATCGGAAATTCCCTTTTAGCCCTTACAGTCTAAGTACACTGGAACTAATACCAAGTGTTAGCCGGATCTCTAAAGATCCAGTTGGGGTGCCCTATGCTCCATCTCAACTGGATTTTAGTCCGTTACTAACCTGACGCAGAAATGTGGTAACAAGGATACAAATGAATCTACTAGAGTCAATAATTTCAGAGTAAACGGAATGTATTCAAATGTAACAATTTATTATTAGTCAGGTAAAATGTATTATGCCAGTTACATAGTCAATTCAGAGACAATCAACACAAGACATCAAATTCTCAACTGATCTTACCTGGCCTTAGAAAAATACATAGTATGGAGTGTATAGATACTGTGGGCTCATCTGGCTACAGAAGCACCCCGATCTTCTTGCAACATTTCCTTAAGTACTCAGACCAAGACAAACATCCCCCAAATGGAGACAGGAACCAACAATTGGAATTTGCATTGATCAAGTCCTAGACGTGGACGAGTTTCAACCTTTTGGGGACAGATGGTAATTTGCCTGAAAGACACTGGGAAATGACACGCCCTCTACAGTGAGCAAAATATCTCTAAACTCTTAGGATCTTTATTACCTTTTAGTGTACTTCTTGTAAGATTGAGACCATTGTACCAGTCACACGGAGACATTTCAAATGATACAAAACATGACTATGAATATCACTTGCATTAATGTAGAACATTATATTTTGCTATTGGCCATTCTGAGTGAGCTGAGTGAAGGGAAGGAAGTGGGGGAAAGCAACAAATGTATAGGTGAGAAGGAAGATTTCCCACATCTTATCTCGGTGAGATGTGGAAACAGATGCCTGTATGTTAATACACTGTGTGTGTATTGTCCATATCTTAGAAGATCAAAGTGTCTGAGGTTCTTACAGGACAATAGCAAACAGTAAATATTTAAGTTAAAGTCAGTTCTTCATTGATTCAGTGATGTCATCATCCAGCTCAGTTCAGTTATCTTCCAATAATGCCTGTGCAATCAAGTAGGGATGCAGCGATTAACCGGTTTCACAATTAACCGCGCTTTAAAATGTCACGGTTAATTAATCGTAAAGGCTCCGCTACACCAAGTGTTTCTGTTGCACAGAACGGAACAGTTGCAACTTGTGCAAAACGAAAACAAAGTTACACTAGCGGTGTACCATCTTAAAATGCTGTGCTTATCAGACACGGAGGCTACTACACACACTAGATTAACTATGACAGAGAAACCAAACAGCGATCCTTTATTTCCACCAGAGAAATGGCCTGGAGTCGATAGTGTGGGACCATTTTGCATACACCCAGAATGACCAGGGTGTCATTTAAATATTTCCGTAAAAACTGCTGCTAAAGAGCGAATACACAGCTTTAAACTATTTTAATGCACAACCTGAAAGCAGAGCTACGGCTCGTTAGCTCAGTATTCTGCCCACTTCAGATCAGACAGATGAAATAGTGTGGTAAGATCACATTTATTTGAATTGATTAATTGTAAAATTTAGCTACTTGTATTAATTATTCGAGCGAGAGAGAGAGAGAGAGAGAAGTGTGTGTGTGTCAGCGCGTCTCTCTACAAACATGAGAGTTTAGTTACTTAAACAGTGATTTTACCCTCTCCTTGCTGATGAATATGTAGCAATTCAGTATCTAAGCTATTTTATTAATAAAAGTCACGGGGCAGGGTTCATAACAAGTTTGAGTCCTCCTGAATGTTTGAATGTGCATGCAGCGCGATCTCACAAACCTAAGTAATAGACATGATTGTCTCAGGCCACATGTAAAATCATATGATTATAAAAATTATTAAAATGAATATGTATGGATGACAGTTGATTACAATGATAGTTCAGTTTATTCCCCTCATTATTAATAGTTTCCCCTGTGGGATAAATAAAGTTAATAGTCCTTTATCAATAATACTTATTAACATTGTTATATATTATCCCTTTTATAGTATTATGCAAAAGTCAAAAACTAACAATAATTGGTTTCCAGTTTTCTGCCTCAGGTCCAAAAGAAACATAAAAACATTTACAAGCTGAAAACACTACATACTTTTGTGATCCATTTTCATTAGTTATTTTCAAAAGGGAAATACTGACATGGATGTTTACAGATCAGAGGTCACCTTTTTAATTCCAAATGGAGAGATAGCCATTTGTTTGTCTTTATTATTATTATGCTGTGCTGTATTATTGGTTACTGTGTTATTTCTGTTTCTAAAGGCAGCAATAAATAACACTTTATTATCTAAAGAGTGTCCATGTGATTTTATACATTAATAATTTTGTGAAATTAATAAATGCATAATAATCGTCATAACCGTGAAATCGTGATTATTTCTAAGACAATAATCATACCAACAAAATCTATAATCGTTGCATCCCTACAATCAAGTCAACAATATTGCCAAATATTAAGTGTCCCCAACTGAGCAAGCAAAGGTGACAGTGGCAAGGAACCAAAACTCCATCGGTGACAGAAATGGAGAAAAAACACCTTGGGAGAATCCAGGCTCAGACGGGGGGCCAGTTCTCCTCTGGCCAGACGAACCATCATGGTGTGGTTTATCATGGTCTTCGCTGAGGATTTGTGCCAATGGCCGTCTAGTTGATGAGGTCTTCACAGGGGATCTGTCTCTGGGGCTCATCTAGTTGTCATGGTCTCTACTGACATTCAGGGCTGTAGAGGTCGTCTCTACCCAGCCAACATGTATATGTGGGCCCCACATGGTTTATGCTGGGTCTAATTTTTATTTTTGAGTGAACTATCCCTTTAATACAATGTATAATTATGATTTATAATGAATTAAGTGTAATGTTTCTCTAAAAATATGATCAGAAATATATGGAGACGCATCTATTATCAGAAATTAGAGCTGCACGATTAATCGTTAAAAGATCATAATCTAGATCCAAACCCCATTTACTCTTATTCCTAAATGACAACGATTGTTGTTGTCGCATACTAACATCGTGTCTACACCAGACGTGACAGTTGTCATGTTGTGCCATGGCACAACAGCTAATGTCTGTCTACTAGACTTGACAAAGCAACCGTTGAAAATCATTTAACTAGGTGTCAGTACATCATAAATAGAACGAAGCATCAGTTTGCTGTCGGGGATTTATCATGTCGCATCGCATCCAGTGTAGACAGAGTCACTGATTATAATGGGTTCTATTGCATTTAGTCGCGCCGTGCTGCGCTGCTCGCGACTGGCGTCGACATGGTGTAAACATCCATTTGTTTTAAAAAGCAAACTTAACATCTATCTTATTTTTAATCCTAATTAGGAGACGACAAGCACACAAAGTTTTGTGCTGTGCTGCTCATACTAACCAAGCAATAAACACCCCTTCCCATGCTTGGTGTCTTGCAGATCAGAGTCCGAAACAGTCACTTGTGGGACAACGTTGTCCTGCACCACTTCAGTCAATAAGTAGAAAGAGAATTTTAGATTTACACGGCAGTCACTGCTGAATATTATACAATAGCCAATCAGATTTGACCCTGTCTGTCGACCAATCATAACCCACTGTGGGCGTGCCTACCTGGATGCTGACGTCATCAGCGCGAGACCACCGTTCAAGTTATGATTTAGCAGAGGTTAGTGCAGTTGATTGTTTTAGTTCAGTTAACTAGCCAAGTAAAGGGTTATCGTTTTATTTTTGCATGTTTACTTAAAAGTTGGAAGTAAAACTGGTCGTTTAGACACTCGCTAACATGAACAATGTAAGCCAGTGGCTGCTGTTATTGTGTAATTTTATTGAAGTATTATGTGAAAATGAAAGTAATCAATATATAAATTAATATGCTGAATTATGTTAACCCTGGATGTCATAGAACGAATAATAGTCTTTTCATTAGACAGTGAACCTTTCATTAGAAAGTACACCTGTGAACTTGAAATAATGTAATATTATTAGAAACACGTATAATGGTCTTTTCATTAGACAGTGGACCTTTCATTAGACAGTAAACGTGAATTTGAAATAATCTAATATTATCAGGAGCAGGTGGATGGATGTGACGTACACCTCCACTACCAACCAATGAAATAAAAGCTTTTTTAAAAAATGGCTGATCGGACCACATTCCACCATTAGAAAACAAGGCCAAAAGGGTTGGAAACAACTGTGGCAAATCAGGTATCTATAACCAATAAAAAATAACCGGAACAAAGAAAAAACAGAAAATGACCAAATTTGGAGAGAACAAAGGGTATATAATATAAGCTGACAAACAGAGACTTTGGAATGATTTGGAATGCTGTGACTGTCTTCCCGGCTTTGTTTCTTTGTTAAATAAAGTCTTATTTTGACATCTGGAACTCTGCTTCTCCACTTCATTGGCCGCTCCCAAGAAAAATCCACAACACGACAAGCACACAAAGTTTTGTGCTGTGCTGCTCATACTAACCAAGCAATAAACACCCCTTCCCATGCTTGGTGTCTTGCAGATCAGAGTCCGAAACAGTCACTTGTGGGACAACGTTGTCCTGCACCACTTCAGTCAATAAGTAGAAAGAGAATTTTAGATTTACACGGCAGTCAATTCTTTAATTCTTTAATATAATATTACAACATCAGCTCATTTTGTGCATTAAACATAATTTCTACTTCAATACACATGTTTTCTAGTTCATGTTCTATTTAATGGATTAGAGAAGGTTTATCCCACCTTTCTAAAGCAATTTAAATTTTAATCGGTTTGAGCATTTTTATTTCAATTGATTTGTTTACATGGAGCTTTTTCAGAGCACAATGCTTCATGTCAATGCACCTACTGATCCAGACAGAGAGGGCAGTTGTCAAGTGTAGGTATGACTGTGTCACAGTTTTTCACTGTGACACTTCAGATAAAGATTATATCAGTGACGTTACACCAGTAGGTGCCGACAAGTGACTGTTAAACACATGTATTTGTCATTGAATCATTCATTTAAGAGATTCATTAAAAAACCCAGATTAATCCAGTAATGAAACAAGTTAAGTATATGTATTAATGAATTATTTAATCATTCATTCAGACCATTTTTAAATGAATTCAGATTAAGCATTTTAAATAGACTGCAGCGTTAACATTTTGTCAGATCTTCTAGTCAATTTAATTTTATTTTTAGTTGTCTGTTCAGAACTGTGATGTCTGTTTGAAACTAAAATTTCATAGATTCTCTGTATCCAGAATCATGCAGCTCTAACTTAAGTTATTAAAACTGACTTTTAAAGAAATAGTTGACAAAAACAAAAAAATCCGTCATTTACTCACCCTCAAGTTGCTTAATACAAAATAAGATATTTTGAGGAATTTTGGTAACCAAACAGTTGTGGGGTACCATTGACTTCATATTATTTTTTT